GGGGGGGGGTGCGTAGAAAGGGGGAGAGGTTGTGGGAGGCTTATTGTCCCAGCAGGGGGAAGTCTTTTGTTTCCTCTCTTCCCTTGGCAGCCTGACAGGATATGAGGCCAAGCCCCCCTCCATGCCAACATCCCTCCACCCACTGGATGCAGCCCTTCCCTTACCATTGTGTCCTTGACAGGAATGGGGCAGGGGCATTGGCTCTAGGAGGGAATTTAAGGATTATTTGTGGCTGGGAGATAGGCTACCAGGGTCCTGAAGGGACAGAAGCTCCTGGGCTGGTTCATGGAGCTTGGCAAGGGCCTGCTCTGTGCCTGGGGAGGAGCAGGAAATCACGCTTGGGTGGGGCAGCACAGAGGGTAGCAGGTCAGGCCAGGGGCCCGTAGGCTGGGCCCCAGAGGAGATGACGCTGGGCTTCGGGCTTCTCCCAGCCCCCACCGTTCCAGCCTCGGCCAGGCCTGAGAGCTCACCTGAACCCCGCGTTCCCTCACCCCCTCCATTCCCTAAGGTTGACATCACTCCCACCATCTACTAGATGCATCTAGTAGAGCCCAGCAAACTCAGGTGACATGCCTGGGCCCTTCACATCTACTTCCCTGGACTCCCTGCCTCCCCGAGATCTAGAGTCTGGCCCCCACTGCGGCTCTGCAGGAACCCTAGATTTCATTCCTCCCCTCCGCTCCCTCCGGGCCGAGTTTGCTCCATCAGCTGTTCCTTCAGGAAGGGCGCCCCGCTCAGCCTCGCCTCTCTTCCCGAGCCTTTTGTTTGCTGGGTCTGCAGGAAATTGTAGGGGCGGTGGCCAAGGGCTCATCAGTCCCAGGGGCCTGAGGGAGGGGGGTCCGGACTAACTAGGCTTAACCCAGGGGAGCTCTCGGCTGGGGCAGGGAGGGTGGATCACCAGGAACTCGCATTTGGGGCTTGAGTTCGGAGGGGGGCACTCCGGGGGTGGGCACTTTGGATGTCCTAGTCCCGGACAGGCGGACTGGGTGTGTGCTAGGGGATCCTTAGAACTAGCGGCTGGACAGAGACTCCGAAGTCACCAAATATGAGCCAGGAGCCAAGGCGAGGGGAGAAATGCCACAACTTCACCCTACATGCCTCGGATCCCGGGAATCCCAATCGGTGGGAAGGCGCCAGGCAGGTTTGACCGAGCAGCCTCTGAGAAGTAATTTAGCGTTTCCTTCCCCTCCTTAAAAATGGTGGGGAGGAGGACCCGCACGTAGCCCCAGAATTCGCGCTTCCCGGGACGCTACCGCAGACTGGGCGGCGGCGTGCGCGCTCTAGCGCGGCGGCGCCCTCTCGTTGGTCGTCCTCTCGGAGGCCGCTCCGGGCGCCGCCATCTTCCCTTCCCGGACGGTGGGGCGGGGCCGCTGCGCTCACGTGAGGAGCAAGCCCGGGTTCTCGGGGTTCCTGCGGTCCGTCAAACCGGGTGTTAAGGGCCGCCCGAGCGCCAGGACTGGTGGAAGTATGGAGCGACAGCAGCGAAGAAAACAGAATTTCTTATTTTGTGGAGTTTAACTTTATATTGGGAGGAGGCAGTCAATGAACAAGAGAAACAAATAAATGACATTAGATGGTGTTAAGGGCTCTAAGGGGGAAAAAAGTAGGAAAGGGGATAGAAAGAAAAATGTGGCTCAGTTTTAAATGGAGTTGGCGGAGAAGATTTCACTAAAGATATCATTTGAGTCCAGAAGACAGAGGAGGCTCGTGCCCTGTGAACCACAGCACGTTCTAGGTAACAGTCCAGAGACCATTGCGGGGCAGGAGCAGATGAGCAGAGGTTGGGAAAGGATGTAGATTGGGCAGGGCTTCAAGGGGAGGTTGGCCATATAATATAGAGACGACTCTGGATCACGTCTCAGCAGAGGAAAGGCTGTTAATACATATGACAAGGCAACAGGCATAAACTTGTAATAGGACTGTAGTCAGTGAATCAGGAGGTGAGTACGGCTACCCTATGTATAAGGGCCTTTGGCTGTTACTTTGAGGAAAATGGAAAAATCACTGGAGAGTTTTGAAAAGAGAAGTGTCATGACTAATATTTGTTTTAATAGCATCACTTAAACTGCTCTGTTGAGAATAGACTAAGAACAAGGGGAGAGTAGGAAACCAGTTAGGGGGCTAGTGCAGTAATTCAGGTAAGACATGATGGTGGCCTGGAGTAGGGTGATAAGATGTGGTTTGATACTGGATACTGGCTATATTTTAAAAGTAGAGGCAAAGGAATTGCTGATGAGTTGGATGTTGGGCATGAGAAAGAATATTCAAGCATAACCCCAAGGTTTTTGACCTAAGCAACTGGGAAGGTGGGAGGATCACAAGAGGAGTAGGTTGTGGGGGTAAGTTTAGGCATTTGATTTTAGACATACCAAGTTTTAGTTAAATTTGTAGTTGGACATATGGTCTGAAATTTAGGGTAGAGATCTGGGCTGGGGATACACCCATGGGGACACTATTATAGAGATAGTATTTAAAACTATGAGATTGAATGAGATCATCAAGAGAATGGGTGTAAATGGTGAAAAGAAGTCAGAGAATTGAGCTTTCAGCGCTCAATAGAACCTCCAGTCCACAGTGACCTCTTGGCTGTTCCTCCAACAACGCCTAGGGGTACTCCTGAGTTAAGAGGAGAGATGAGCCCTGGCCTGTGTGGCTCAGTTGGTCGGGCATCATCTTGTGCACTGAAAGGTTACCGGTTTGATTCCTGGTCAGGACACATGCCGGGGTTGTGGGCTTGATTCCCGGTAAGGGGTGTGCAGGAGGCAGCTGATTGCTATTGTGCTTTCACATTGATGTTTCTCTCTCTTTCTCCCTCCCTCTCCCTTCCTCTCTCTCTAAAAATCAATTTAAAAATTAAAAAGAAACACACCACCACAGGAAAGATGAGGAAGAACCAGCAAAAGGGAGAGAGGAGGAGGAAATCTATGAGAGTATGATGTTCTAGAAGCCATATGAGGAAAGTGTTGAAGGAGAAGGTAGTGACCAAGTATGTCAAATGATGCCAGTAGTTTAGTAAAATGAGCAGAGCAATGAACCATGGATTGACCAACTGGAAGTCACTGGTGACTTGAGCAGTTTGCCTTTTGCTGAGGGGCAAAAGCCTAAGTGTAGCGGGTTTAAGAAAAACAGAGGAGGGGATTGGAAATGACTAGTATAGACAACGCATATAAGAAGTTTTGCTATAAGGAAGAAACAGCAAAGAAATAGAGTGATGATGAGGGGAGGGTAATAGATCCCAAAAAATCTTATTATTTTTTTTTCTTTTTAAGACAAGAGAAATAAAAGCATAGTTGTATACTTTTCATTTGTATAATGGGAATGAAAACAAGATGATGACATGGGACCTAGTGGCCAGTTAACCATAACTGGGAGCATGATCAATTCATCCCTAGTAACAGGAGAAAGTGTAGTGGGTAGATAGGAGCTCTCAGAGTCTCATCTGATGGCTTTTGTTTTCTCATTTGGGAAGCAAGGCAGTGAGCTGAGAGAACAGTGGGGGAAGCACTGGAGGGTTGAGGAGAGAGGTGAAGATTTAACAGTTATTTAGGAGTGTGGGAGAGTAAATAGACTAGAGAAATCTTATCTGAGTGCTGGGCAGCATTAAGGACCCACTTACGGTTCATGATCATGAATTTGAAATGAGAATGGCTGCCATGGTTGGGTGTTTTCTCTAGCTACATTCAGCTGCTTGGTCAGGCTCAGGGTAGACAGAAAATTGTGTTTACCAGGGTTGTGGTTTTGCCAGGAGGTGTAACTGAGAGAGGGGCAAGGGAGTGCTTTTCACTGACTGTGACCTTTAAGCTGGTAAAAAAGGAAACGAGTGGGAGACAGTGGAAAGAGGGCAGAATCAATGGATTGGGGATTCAGTGAAGTAGAGGATTGCTGGGGTCAGGGCATGACAAAGACCCTCTCCTTGACCAAACTTCAGTCTGGTTCCTCTGAACCCTCTTCTGGACTAGGTCTTTACCTTGGCCCCCATCATTGATGGGCCTGCCTAATTCAGTTTAGAGAGATATCTGATATCTGGTTACCCTGGCCTGTCTTCAGCAAGAATCCTCTGAAGTCTTTTTAAAAAAATATATGTTTTTATTGATTTCAGAGAGAAGAAGGGAGAGGGAGAGAGAGAGAGATAGAAACATCAATGATGAGAGATGGTCACTGATCAACTGCCTTCTGCACACCCCCTGCTGGGGATCCAGCCTGCAACCGGGGCATGTGCCCTGACTGGGAATTGAACCCCGATCTCTTGGATCATAGGTCGATGCTCAACGACCTAGCCATGCCAGTTGGGCCTGTTAAATCTTTTTAGCTAGAATCCCCCTATTCTTGGTATTTCCTCTTAGTAATTTTCTATTTATTGGCCCCCTCATTCTGCTTGTTAGGTATAAATCCCCAGCTGTCTTTACTGTATTTGAGGGTTGAACTCCACCTTTCTCCCCTATTGCGATAGTCTTGACACCTATTGCAATAGTCCTGAATAAAGTGTTTCTTATCCTTTTAACAAACATTCAATTAATTTTTTCTCAACAGGCCTACTAGATGAGGTGAACAGAAAGAGGGAGGGCCTGCAGAGGCCTGTTCTGGGAGCACGGGGGATTCAGTGGGTTCCAAAATCAGGCCTATTTTTGGGAAACACCGAGGCCTATGGTTGGCCTTGGACCTACTAGTTGGCTGGTGAGAGGCCTTGGGGTGAAAGCTTGGCTGGGGGACCCGGGCCTGACAATTTTCAAGCCATGGATTATTTCTGGTTTTAGTGCTAATCGAGATTGGAGTCCATGAACACTTTGAGTGGGACGGTTGGCACTATAATTCTTGCCAAACTGGGAGGTGCAGAAATCAAAGTAGTAGGCAGGAGGGGAGACTTTTGGCTGGTTGTTGAGTTCTCATTCTGAAATGTCTGAGGTGTTTGGGGACAACTCCTTAGGCCTCTAGAGTTCCCAGAAACCACAGATGATGAACTTATTGAGGGGTGGACAGAGACTGTGTGCTGATTTTCATGTTCTGATTTGGAAAAAAAAGAAAAAGAAAAAGAAAGAAAGAGGGAGGGCCTGCAGTTTTTGGAAAGGACAAAGTATTACCACTGTGTAGGTGATGAATAAGATCTATGACGAAGTGGAATTTAAGTAACTGCAGGCCAGGGTGTTGGAAGTCTCATCAGTGTAGATATTGAAATCATCAAAAATTGTGGCAGGATGGTGTTGGAGAGATCCAGGAGCCACACTCTGTGTTGAGGGCAATAGAGATGACCACTGGAAATCCCACAGTTTAACTGTTCATGAGACCTCTCCCTGGCAAAGCCACATTTTGGTTGGTTTGAGCCCCTTCCTCTCCTAAGTAAATGCTGCAGATAATTTACAGTGAAAGACCAGTGGGGAGGAAAAGTGGTGTTCATTTCCTGAGGCTCAAATGACAGTATAACCATAAAGGAAAGTTAGGAATTTATTACTGAAGCTCTCTAAGCTTCAATTTCCTAATGAAAAATAGAAATAATAGCAGTACCTACTTACTTCACAGAATGGTTATGCATATTTAATGTAGCACTCCATGCAAATGATAATATTGAGCGTTTCGGCATTGTTCTCAAGTGCCTATTCGTTTAACTGTCAGAGTAACCTTATGCGGGAGACTGCAGTTAATACCGTTTACAGATGAGAAACGTTGCGAGGTGGTGCTGATGTTGCTGGTACCTGAAGAGAATGAAAAGGGGGTCCTAACTTCCGGAGGTTCACAATTCCTCTAATTTTTGCTAGAGAGGAGAACACCATATCCCCATGGCACAAAAGCCAGCGGCAGATGGAGAAGAGGATCGGCTGTGCCCTGCGCCTTCAGGGCTTGTCTGGATGAGCGGCCAAAGGCTCCCTCCGGTGGCGGAAGCAAAAAGCGCAACTGGTGGGCTGGATCGGGCGGGAGGGGAGGGCACCTGGGGTGTGTAGGGAGGCCTGGGTCCAGCGGACATTCGGGGATTCGAGAGGCTGGAGTAGGACCCCCGAAGGCGTGGAACAGCAAGGCCCGGCGTTCCTGGCGACGCACCTAGGTCTGGTGTCGCGGCCCCGCCCACCTGGGGACCGCCTGCTGTCCTAACCACAAGCCCCTGTCATTGGTGGCTCTTCCGGATGCCTCTGAGCTCCGGGTGGGGTCCTGCCAGGGCTACGGGCGTTGGTTTGCATCAGGGTGATGAGAGCTGTAGGAGCCCAGGCCTACACCCAGCCGGAGACGCGCGCCTGAGGGGCTACCCGGCTAGCGCCCGGACGCACGTGGAGAGGGAGCGGCGCGGGCCAATAGAGCCTGGAAGGGGCGGGGCTTCTCCGGACGCGCCCACGGGGCGGGGCCGGACCCGGGACCAATGGGCTCGCGTGCTGTGGGGGGGCAGGCTCCGGGCCTGGCATCCCGGTAGCTGCAGCTGTCCTTTCCGGTACCCGTGCCCCCTCCGCCCGTAGCGGACCCCTCTCGGGGATCACCCCAGAGCAGCTGCGTCCTGCGGGTGGGTGAGTGAGCGCTCTGCCGCACTCGGGCTGTGCGGGTGCTCCTGGCCATGGAGAACGGGATCGCGGCCCCCTCCTCCGGGAGAAAGTGGGCAGGAACCGGTTGGAGGAGGAGGATCCACCTTGTGTTGCCTGCCTGTGTTTCTGTTTTGATAATCGAAGGGTGTATTTGGGGGGTGCTTCATGCGGTGGGAAGCATCTGATGAGGCCAAGAAGAGGAGCTGGTTTAAGATGGGATGAAGGAGAGGGTTGACGGAGGGTGGGTCGTGGGATGATTTGGAAGTTTCTCATTGCCCGTAGGTAAGGCGATTGTATTGGGGGGAGTGTCTCAGTACTGCAGAGGAGGGGGTGAGGAGGGCTTCCTGCTCATAACTCACTTCCCTTTTGGGGGATTTGCTTCCTCTTCTACTGCTAGTTAAGAAGGAAGAGGATATTTTCCCCTTTCAAGAACCACTGCCATCCCTAGTCTCAGGGATGTAGGGAAAGGGGTGGCCCTCGGGAGCTGAAAGGGGTCTTGATATTCAAATTCTGCCATTGTTGGGGCAGTGGCCAGGGCCAGTCAGCCCCCCCACTAACTCTTATGTGTGTTTCCTTGCAGCTCTCCCTTTGGGTGTGAGGCTTCTGGGTGTTTGCTTAGAGGTGTTTTGGGGGGGCTCAGTGGAGCTGATTTCCATTCAGCACACTCTCTTGTGTAGGTCTCATAATCCATTGCTGCTTCCTCTACCTGCTCTCAACCATGGCCAGTGAAAACTCTCCTTTGCTGGCCTACCGGCTCTTGGGGGAAGAGGGGGTTGCCTTCCCTGCCAATGGGGCCGGAGGACCTGGAGGCGAATCTGCCCGGAAGCTTTCCACCTTCCTGGGTGTGGTGGTGCCCACGGTCCTGTCCATGTTCAGTATAGTTGTCTTCCTGAGGATTGGTGAGTGGATGTGGGGAGGGGCTTACTAGGGGGTGCAGTGGGTAGCAGGGGGTCTGGGATGAAGTTGTGGAAGGGCTGGAGGTTACTGAGGAGCAATGGGTGAGGGGTGGGGGTGGGGGGGTGAGCCACCCTCTGACCTGCTTTCCCACTCCTGTTCCAGGGTTCGTGGTGGGCCATGCTGGGCTGCTGCAGGCTTTGGCCATGCTCCTGGTTGCCTACTTCATCCTGGCACTCACCGTGCTCTCTGTCTGTGCCATTGCCACCAATGGAGCTGTTCGGGGCGGTGGAGCCTACTGTATCCTCCAACATTGATGTATTGGGGCCTGGCCTCTTCCATCTTGTAGAGAGGAGGAAGGGGCTGCTCCCTCCATCCCCTGGGGGGTGGCAGGGCAAGAGGGAGGCAGTTTATAATGAATACTCCGAAGGCAGGCTGATATGGGGAAAGTGACCAACATAGCTTTACATGTTAGCGCCACTTTCTAGTCCATCAGGTATCTTCCAGCTGTCATTTTGGTTCTCCTAACAGTCTTGTCAATTAGATTGTGTTCATTTTACAGAGGAGGAAACTGGAACTCAAGAGCATCAGGAACTTGTGTGAAGCCACATGGCTTGGGAGTGACTGTGCTGGGACACATTACCCCTGGGAACACATGCAGGGAGACCAGACCTGGAGGGTCAGCTACAGAGTGCTTTGTGCCAGGGCCCTTCCTCACACTCCTTTTCCCTTAACACTCACCTCTTGCTTCCACTTTTAGTCATGATCAGCCGCACCCTGGGGCCTGAGGTTGGAGGCAGCATTGGCCTCATGTTCTACCTGGCTAATGTCTGTGGCTGTGCTGTCTCCCTGTTGGGGCTGGTGGAGGCCGTCCTTGATGTCTTCGGGGCTGGTTTGTTCTCCCCACCCTGATCATGGGAGCTCTATGGGTTTGCAGGGTCTGGGATGCTGGAATCATGAAGGAGAGAGGCCCTTTCCAGGAGAGGGGCAAAGTGCCCCATTAGCTTGTCTTTTTAAGCTTTTACCATATGCTTGGCCATGTATTGATGTCCAAGAGACTGTCCTGGTCCACAGAAGCTTACCATCTAGTCTCAGAGGCCAGGCTAATACCCCTAAAATCAACAGTAAGATTGGTGTACCCACTAGGCAGGGCTAGGATGCTGGGGTTCAGTTTAGTAAGGGAAGAGGGAAGATGGCCTTTCTGAGGATGGGGGTGGGTTCTGTTCCTGCTTTGTGTCATGGTTGGGGTCCCTCCTAGGGGCTTGACCTTCTAACTCTGTTCCTTCCTCTGCAGATGCCACAGGGTCCAGTGGGCTCCGAGTCCTGCCCCAGGGCTATGGCTGGAGTTTGCTTTATGGTTCCCTGCTGCTGGGCCTGGTGGGCGGAGTCTGCACCCTGGGGGCTGGCCTCTATGCCCGTGCCTCCTTCCTCACATTCCTGCTGGTCTCTGGTTCCCTGGCCTCAGTGCTGGTCAGCTTTGTGGCTGTGGGGCCCAGGGTCATCCAATTAACCCCTCGGCCTGGCCCCAATGGCTCCTCCCTGCCACCCCAGGTTGGCCACTTCACCGGCTTCAATAGCAGCACCCTGAAGGCCAACTTGGGCGGTGAGCTGGGCTTATGGGTGCTGGGGTTCTCAGGGCTAGGGGCAGGCATGTGTAGGGGCTGGGCCCTTGGAATCTCTGCATGAGAACAGATGTCAGAGAGAATTGGGGACAGGAGATCTGGACCTCTGAGCAGAGCAGTTTAATTAAGATCTGTTGGGTGTGAGTTGGCTTCTGTGTGTTTGGCCTAGCGGGAGCCAGAGTTGACCGCAAGACAGTCACTGCCTTAGAGGAACTTGTTTAGTTGGAGAGATAAGATGTATATTCAGGAAACAATTAAATAGCATAATAGACTGAATGTGATTCAAGAAGACAAGAATCACAGAGGAGTCAAGAGGAGCCAGATGGAAGTATGGGCTGGGGAGGCAGGAATAGGTAGAGCTGGAGGCGGCCTGAGGTAGGCTGGGGAATTCAGGTAGGCTCTGGAGGGACTGTGTCTCAGGAAAGAGCATGGGTGAGCCCTGGAGGGAGGGAGAGAGTATATAGGAGAAGGAAGTGATGAGGAGCTGAGCCAGGCCCAGTGATGGGTCAGGGATGGGGTCTTGGTGAGTTTGGTGGGGGAAATAGGGGGCTTGTGGAATGTAAGGAGCGGTGGCAGGGCCAAGACGCCTGGATCACTAGGAGAGATGTTGATACCCTCTCCTCCCTGGGGACAATCCCTCCTCAGCTGGCTACGCAAAGGACTACACCACGGGGGCCATGATGACCTTCGCCAGCGTCTTTGCTGTCCTTTTTAATGGCTGCACGGGCATCATGGCTGGGGCCAACATGTCTGGTGAGAGTCCCTGCCTACTGTCTCTTGGGGGTGTGAGGCTGCCACCCTGTGCCCCTACCTGGGTGCTGAGGGCTCAGGGATGCAGATGGTGGAAGACTGACCTCTCTCCCTCTACTCCCCTCCCTCCAGGGGAGCTGAAGGACCCCAGCCGGGCGATTCCTCTGGGCACCATTGTGGCTGTTGCCTACACTTTTTTCATCTATATCCTGCTTTTCTTCCTCTCCAGCTTTACCTGTGACAGGTGCCTGGGGAGGGAGTGAGCCTGGCCCTTTAGGGTGTGAGGGGGTTGTTGGGTCAAGGCTGATGTACCTGGATCATTAAGATTGCACATGCTGGGGGACAGATACCCAAGTTGTTGGGGTATAGAAAAAATGGGAACTGTTTCTCCCATGAGAGAGAGATGGAGCTGCTGCTGCCGATGGAAGGGCTGGCTAAGTGGTAATAGATAACCCGCATCCAGCATTTGCCATGTGCCTAGTACCATAGTAAGCACTTGGTTTGAGGGTGGGGACTGGCTTTCTAGTCAATTTCTATAAACAGTTGGCTCCTTGTGCATATACTGTTGGGAATGTCTGTCATGTGATTAATTCCAGAGCAGCTCAGTGATAACCAGTGAATGCCAAGTGTATCCCTCTGGCACACTTGATCTATTACTGTGGTCCTTTAGATAGGGGCTGGATCAGTTGAGAATTTAACCTCTTAACCTCACACAATATTGTGATTGCTGTTCTCGCAAGGACCCCACATGGTTGCACGTTTCTTTTCCATGTCCCCTTCTTTTCCTTCCTGTAGGATCCTGCTACAGGAGGATTATGGGTTCTTTCGTGCCATTAGCCTATGGCCCCCACTGGTGTTGATTGGTATCTATGCCACATCTCTCTCGGCCTCCATGAGCTGCCTTATTGGTGCCTCCCGCATCCTCCACGCCTTGGCCCAGGATGACCTCTTTGGTGTGCAGTCCCCTGCCTCCTTGCCCAGCTCTGAGCATGTCCTCTGTGTTCGTCTCAATCTGTGCTTGGCCCTGGCTAACGTGTCTGCTGTGTTTCTGTTTGCACAGGAGTGATCTTGGCACCAGCCAAGGTGGTATCCAGAGGGGGAAATCCCTGGGGGGCCGTGCTCTATTCATGGGGCCTAGTACAGGTAAGTTTTTCTCTTTAATCTGCCCTTCCCTTCACCCTAAGCCCCTTCTGGTTATACTTGGAGGAGCTTAGGTGTGGTCTGGGAGACTTAAATGGAAAGGCAGGATGCATTAGCATTTGGTGGGGAGTAGCTCAATTTCCAGCCTCTTGGTCCTTGTCCAGTTGGTGCTCCTAGTCGGGAAGCTAAACACACTGGCTGCTGTGGTTACTGTCTTCTACTTGGTGGCCTATGCTGCAGTGGATCTGTCCTGCCTGAGCCTGGAGTGGGCTTCGGCCCCCAACTTCCGGTGAGAGAATGCCTGTGTCCCCTGAAAAAGAGGGAGGAATGGGAAAGACTCAAACCAAGGGGGTAAGTCTGGGAATGGAATGGAGTGGTCTGGTGTTCAGGGCTGGCCCTGAGTGTCCTTCTCTCTGTCCACCTGCAGCCCTACCTTCAGCCTGTTCTCCTGGCACACCTGCTTGCTGGGGGTAGCCTCCTGCCTGCTCATGATGTTTCTCATCAGCCCTGGGGCTGCTGGCGGCTCCCTGCTGCTCATGGGCCTGCTTTCTGCCCTGCTCACAGCTCGAGGCGGCCCCAGCAGCTGGGGCTATGTCAGCCAGGCCTTGCTTTTCCACCAGGTTGGGGGAGCTCAGAGGAAGGTGGGGAGGGGAGGAGGCAGTCTGGGAAAACCCACCCTACAAAGAGGCTTCCTCTTCCCTTGGCTAGAGTTGGGGTTCCTGTCTGGTAGGTGTTGAGTGGGGGTTGCTTACTTGAGCCCTTCCTCCCCACTACCTCACCCTGACCCCAGGTGCGTAAATACCTGCTCCGACTGGACGTGCGGAAGGATCATGTGAAGTTCTGGCGACCCCAGCTGCTGCTCCTGGTGGGGAACCCTCGGGGCGCCCTGCCTCTGCTGCGATTGGCCAACCAGCTCAAGAAGGGAGGCCTCTATGTGCTGGGCCATGTCACTCTGGGAGACCTTGGTGAGTTGCCCTCCACTCCTCCTTTGCTTCTCAGTCTCAGACGTTCTTGGTATTCTTTGTGTCCCAGAGGCCTCATGCTTCTTCCCAGAAAACCCTTCCAACCAGCACACAGCCATGCCTGGAACTTTCTCTTCAGCCTATCCGGGATTTGGACTCTAGGAGAAAGTATCTGAGTTTGGCCCACATTTGCTGCCTTCCTTCTTCGTAGACTGCCTGCCCTCGGACCCTGTGCAGCCACAGTATGGAGCATGGCTGAGCCTTGTGGACCGGGCCCAGGTGAAGGCCTTTGTGGACCTCACCCTCTCACCTTCTGTGCGCCAGGGGGCTCAGCATCTGCTGCGGATCTCAGGCCTTGGTGAGGTGCTCCTCCCTGGGTCCCCTCTGACCTTTCTGTGGCCCTTTTCAGTCTCTGCTAACCTCCCCGCCACAACCCAAGAGAGTAAACCACAGATTGCAAACTCCAAAAGGAACCCACAGTCTAGTTCACATAAGGCGTGGCACTCAAAGATAACAGACAGTATGTGATTAGATTTTGGAAGAGATGATTTAGGACTAGAGATGGGGTGACACATTATTTTTTTGATCCAAAAATTGGGGCACAGGTTCTGAAGAGCATGTTGTATTTCTGGGGACAATGGGAGTATTATCTGAAGCTGGGGCTGCCCCATCAAATCTATGACAGATGTTTTCTAATCACTGGAGTTCAGAGAAAGGAAGACCACTGTTTACTTATGTGGTCAGCAAAGGTTTTGTAATGAGATGGTATCTCAGCTGGGCCTTGAAAGGGATGGAAAAGTTGGGAGTTGTGTAACAAAATAGCCTCCGCAAAGATTCGGAGGGTTTGTGGGACTGATGCTTTTGGGTGGAGTGAAAGAATCCCAGCTTGTGGCTGTTGTTGTGCTGAGGCCCCTGGCCTTGCACCCCAGCTTCCTCCACATCCATGCCCAGCTGCCTCCATTTTTCTTAATCTCAGGACTGGCATCTGCCCCCACTCTGAGTGCATGCTTCCTTTTCCACTTAGAATCTGGCTAAAGATCAAGTGTTGGACATTGCCCCGTTGGGTGTAAATCAGAAACCTGGAAAATGCTCAGGAGGGAGTGTGACTAGTTTAATTGGCAAGATCAGCTGGAGTTCATACCTGCTGAGGTGTTTTGGGATGTTATCAAGCATTATGAGAGCCCCTGGAGCATCTGAGCACCTGGTCTCTTTTATGGGGAAACCTGTGCCAGGAGACCACTACTTTCATGAAATTTATCCTGCAGAAAATGATTCAAATAAAAGGAAAAAGATTTCCTTTATTTAAAAAAAAAGGTTTTATTGATTTCAGAGAGAGGAAGGGAGAGGGAAAGAGAGTTAGAAACATCAATGATGAGAGAGAATCATCCATCAGCTGCCTCCTGCATGCCCCCTACTGGGGATCGAGCTCAAAACCCAGGCATGTGCCCTGACTGGGAGTGGAACCATGACCTCCTGATTCATGGGTCAATGCAGAACCACTGAGCTACACCGGCTGGGCAGATTTCCTTTACATAGTAAATTCTCATGGCAGCCCATTTGTTTCAAGAGAAAGGATCTTAGAAGAGGTCTCGGAGTCAGCCCTCCTAAAGGGAGAAAATTATCTGATTCCACATTGGTTGTTCAAAAATTAAAAACCAGGAGCTGTTGGCAGGAAGTTGGAGCACTGTGGTTGGTACACACACCAGCCTAGAGGCTCAGAAAATGGGCTCTGGTTCTGGCTGCATTATGTTACCTGCCACCCCTGTATCTACCAGCCATGAACCTTTGGGCAGGGGACTTCACTGCTCCGTGCCTCAGTTTCCCTATCTGTAAAAGGGAGTAGCCCTAGCTGTTTTGACTCAGTGGTTAAAACACCGGCCTGCCGACTGAAGTATCCTGGGTTCAGTTCGGGCCAACGGCATGTACCTCGGTTGCAGGCTCAATCCCTGGTCCCTGTTAGGGTCGAGGCTTGTGGTGGGGGCAACCAATCAATGTGTCTCTCTCACATCGATGTTTCTCTCTCTCTCTCTCCCCCCCCTTCCACTCTCTCTGAAAAACAATGGAAAAAATATCCTCTGGTGAGGATTAAAAAAAAGGGGGTGGTGGTACGTAAAGAGTCCCTACGAGATGGCATTGCTTCAAGGATCAGTGAATTAAATAAAACACAAAGTGCTTTCAACAGGACACGGCTCCTGGTTAGCATGCAGATGTTAGCTGTCCCTTTTCCAGTGATCATGCTTTGGACATGCCATCATTAGGGAAAAAGATTGCGCAGCCCCAGCACCCAGTACTCATCCTCCCCCCCAGGGTCCGGTGGCTATTTCTCTGGATATTGAGGCCATAAGCTTGACTAATCAGGGGTCTGGGCTGCCCAGTGGAGTCAGACTCTCACCTCCCATCATGAAAAATGTGTTGCTAGAAGCTTGGAGTGAATACATCTTACTGACCCCGAAAGTGCTCATTAGTTAAAAGAAACCTAAGGTGAACTTTGCCTATTTAAATGGGGGGATTAGTCATGGAGATAAATCAAATAAATGCATGAGAAAGTGTTTGGGAAAACTAAAAGTCATTATGCCCTCAGAACCCAACACAGTACAAACAAATGTCACACTTGATGTTGCCATCAGTATATATGAGTGGATGTGTATATCGTGGTGTAAACTCAGTTGGTGAGTCTGATTCCTGTTGGTTCCTTCCTATCTCCCCCTCTCTGCCCCAGGTGGCATGAAGCCCAACACGTTGGTCCTGGGTTTCTACGATGATGCTGTACCCCAGGATCACTTCCTGACAGACCCAGCTTTCTCTGAGCCTGCCGACGGCACCCAGGAGAGCGGGTCCCCAGCCCTGAGTACCCTGTTCCCTCCACCCCGGGCTCCTGGGAGCCCCCGGGCGCTAAGTCCCCAGGACTACGTGGCCACAGTAGCAGATGCACTCAAGATGAACAAGAATGTGGTTCTGGCACGGGCCTGTGGGGCCCTGCCCCCTGAGCGGCTAAGCCGGGGGTCTGGAGGCACCTCTCAGCTGCATCATGTGGATGTCTGGCCCCTCAACCTGCTTCGGCCCCGGGGTGGCCCTGGCTACGTGGACGTCTGTGGCCTCTTCCTGCTGCAGATGGCAACCATCTTGGGCATGGTGCCTGCTTGGCACAGTGCCCGGCTCCGGATCTTCTTGTGTCTTGGGCCTCAAGAGGCTCCTGGGGCTGCTGAGGGTCGTCTCCGGGCACTCCTGAGCCAGCTGAGAATCCGGGCTGAGGTGCAGGAGGTGGTGTGGGGTGATGGGGCTGGGGCTGGAGAACCTGAGGAGGAGGAGGAAGGGGACTTTGTGAACAGTAGGCGGGGAGACTCTGAGGCAGAGGCCCTGGCTTGCAGTGCCAACGCCCTGGTTCGGGCCCAGCAGGGGCGTGGCAGAGGTGGAGGGCCTGGTGGGCCTGAGGATGAGGATGGCGAGGAGGGGCCCACCACGGCCCTCACCTTCCTGTACTTGCCACGGCCACCTGCTGATCCTGCCCGATACCCCAAATACCTGGCGCTGCTAGAGATTCTGAGCCGAGATCTGGGCCCTACGCTGCTCATTCATGGTGTCACCCCTGTCACTTGCACTGATCTCTGATGCCCAGTTCCTAAAGTAGAGTGTACAGATATGGTGGCCCACCTTGATTAGCAGATGAGGAGGGGAAGGGCTGCCTCCTGCCAGGCCTGCACATGGGACACAGAGCCAGGTGGAAGTATTAGGGGATCTTGAGCTAGGGCATCTCTAGACCTCTAGGAGAGGGGCCCTAGCCCACTAATTAATGCAGGACAGCTGCCCCCCGCCAGGGGAGGGAGTCAGCTCTGCCCCCTCCTTCCACTCACCGGTGCCTTGATGGGGGCTAGGTCTCTGCTGGTGACCCTAGGCTACCTCAGTCTCCCCTCACCTGACAGACTCACTGACCCCTGAGGTTTGATGTTTTGTTCTGTTTTATTTTTCTAACTGCTGAAAAGTGAATAAAAGACCCAAACCTTACGGGCTGGCTAAACAC